CCATGGGCTACATCTGAGCAGGGGTTCTAGGTTATATCCATGCATGGTCCTTGGTTGAAGAAACAGTTCATAGCAGCTTTATTCGTAGTAGCCAGAACCTGGAAACAACCCAGATGTCCCTCAATGCAGGAATGGATACAGAAATTGTGGTACTTTTACACAGTAGAATACTACTTAGCAATTAAAAAACAAGGAAATCATGAAATTTGCAGGCAAATAGTAGGAACTAGAAAAGATCATCCTTAGTGAGGTTTCCCAGAAGCAGAAAGACACACACGGTATATCTTCACTTTTAAGTGGATACTAGACCTATAAGATAGGATAAACATACTAAAATCTGTACACCTAAAGAAGATAAACAAGAAAGAGGACCTGGGGTAAGATGATCAATTCTCACTTAGAAAGACAAATGGGATGGACATTGGAAGTAGGAGAAAACAAGTAACAGGACAGGAGCCTACCACTGAGGGCCTCTGAAAGACTCTACCTAGCAGTTTATCAAAGCAGATGCTGAGACTCATAACCAAACTTTGGGCAAAGTGCAGGGAATCATATGAAAGAAGGGGGAGTTAGTATGACCTGGAGAGGACAGGAGCTCCATGAGGACCAAATATATCTGGGCACAGGGATCTTTTCTGAGACTGTGCCTCAATTTTGTTATGTATAAAAACTGGAAAGCATAATTTCTATCTGAGTTACAGAAAATCAAACTGTACCAAAGAGATCTCTAACATTACATGCTATTTTTAAAAGTGTGTAGGAGCCTATTTCACAAACTGGTTCATCATAGCTTAGATTCATGTGGAATTTATCCACATCACATATGTTTGGGGACTCAACGTGTGAAGTATCTGATTTGGTTCTTCACAAACATCTCAGTGAAGCAAACATTAAATTTTGTATCCAGGCTTGATGTATTTTTACAAAAACATCATTCAATGTAGAAATGTGCAGGGAGAAACCTACACTGATAAAGTAGGTTTAGGTTTACAGGTGTGCTTATAGATGTATTTTTTGTGAAGTTAAGCTATAGCCCTAAACATGAACAATGAGCAAGAGACAGCCTGGAGGAAACAAATGACATTTCTTCCAAGGTAACCTCATGTGTGGGAATTCTGGAAGACAGACATTGCCAAATGATAGCCATAGCTTAGTGGACAGAGAAGGAAGTGAAATGTGATATCCTTAGTGCCCAAGCGCAGGTCATCCAGGGCTTTGTAGGTCATGGTAAAGGACTTGCAATTCATTCTAAATGCTTTGAAATACCACTTCATTAAATATATATATATGTAAAATTTGTTTCTCTGTGTTCATAGTGCAATTGGGGGAAATCAGGAAAGTCCACTCGAGGGATGAGAGTGTACTGTTGGACATGATGTCACTTTGCAACAACCCTTTGACTTTCTCCAATATGTGCTTTAGTCCTTTAAGCCCTTATATATTACCTCAGATGGTTTATACATCATCTATCACCCCCAAGCCCCATGCTTCATGCTCTGCTGCAGAATTTTTATCCCTCCTGCTGCCACATTGACCCTTGATAGGTTCTTGAGTAGAAACCTATTTTATTAAGTCCTAGAACTGCCCACAAAACGTAAGTGTTTCATAAATATTTGTTAAATGGTAAATATATGTCCAGGGGTTCTTGGCAGTCAACTACCTTCAGAATTAAGAAGGTACTTTTAAAATCTCTCCGTCAGAACCATGTCCCCGGGGGCTTCCACTCACGCTGCTCATTGTCTTTACTGTAGAAGGTGCTGGCTGATCCTGATCATTTAATGCTGAGAACCAAGGAAGAGGTATAAACTGCAATAGTTAACTGGTCTTAACGTTATTTTAAAAATAATTAACTGAGGAATCTACATTTGTTGGCACTGAGGAACACCGCACTGTGACATTTATTTTTTAATCTATTATGTATTCTTTGGCAATATCATACATGTATGCAATGTATTTTAATCACACACACACACACACACACACACACACACACACCTCCAGCTCCTCCTAGCCTTTATTACTGAGTCCAATTAGTGCTTCTAATGTGGACATGGGTTTAAGGTTAACTGCTGACTCGTGGGCAACCTATCAGGGGGCAAATCTCTGAAAAAAACTGATTTTCCCTACCCCCTGCATCCCCAGTAATCAACTACTAAATAGTCTGCTATTATGGGTGAGGCTCAGCCCCATTTCCATCCATGATGAAATTTTGATTGGCTTTATCTGAATGGTGTGATATTTCTTATCCAGGTGAGTAGTTTGCACTGAAGAGGTTCTTCTAACTAACTTTCTGATAGATGACTCTCTTCACTGGACAGGTGGAGTATGAGGGCTTTCATTCTTTTAAAACAGCTAAGGACTCCCAAAACAAGGAAGGAATTAGACCACATTTTCTTCAAGTTTTGTATTCAGAAAGCCTGGAGTGGTATAGTGTTTAAATGTTTTGATTTTGTAAGAGGAAAATCTTGTTTAATTCTATAATAATGTGTATATTATAACATGATTTTAAGGCACCTGATTCAGACTCAAAACTAGAATGTTGAAGATAATAACAATAAACAAAAATCAAACCAAACTGGGCTTAGGGCCCAGGAAAACTCGCCAGATGCCAAGAATTGGGCAAGCAATAAACTAATTATAGAAATGAGGCAGGAGTGGATGGGACTATAATATATACTTTATAGCATCATCTCTGCTGACGAATTTTATGGAGATGTTGGTCACTGTGGGTGGAGTTCCTGGGGAGTTCATTTCAATGACAAAGTTTCCATGGATTGCCTTCCTGACATGTACGTCATAAGCATGGAGAAATATACAGTGCTCCTCCATTGTGTGAGAGCTTTTATAATGCTGTAAACTATTTGGAAACAAACAGACCAGAAGTAAAAATAGGCATTCATAACAGCTGTAACTAAAGTTAAAAGGAGAGTTTGCAGTTTCCCAGGATACTGAAATGCCATATGATTTACATAAACAAGGGAGGAAATCCTCTTAGTGTTCAGGGGTGTGTGTCTAATACCACGTCTAATACACATGTTTCCTGTTATTGAAAAATAGTCTTTAATATTTTAAGAACATTTTAGGGCCTGACTATATTCTGGGCGTATTGTTTCTTTTAACAAGAAAGTATAAGAGCAGAGTACAAGTATCAGGAGAAGCCTATTCCAGTCCCGTTTTCATCACAGGAGGAATGTGTATGTGTGGAAAGAAATAATCATTCCCAATGCTTTAAAAGTTCTAGAGCACTGGTTTTTAACTTTCTGAGTGCTGCAACCCTTTAATACAGTTCCTCATGTTGGGGTGACCCACAACCATAAAATTATTTCTGTTGATATTTCATAACTGTAATTTTGCTACTGTTATGAATTGTAATGTAAACGTGTTTTCTGGTGGTCTTAGGTGACCACTGCGAAAGGGTCCTTTGACCTCCAAAGGGATCATGAACTACAGGCTGAGAACCACTGGGCTAGAGGCTGTTATGACAGGCCATTTGTGATCAGAGATTGAAGCATTTCCTGTAATTGAGGTATTGAGGGAACGGTAGCTTTCTAACCACAGAAGTAAATGGAATTTGTGTGAAATATCCAGAACCTTTTATCCAAATATAACAAGCCAAAGCATTACTTTATGTCTAATAACTGGCTAAATTCAGGTTAGGAGCAAAGGGAGATTGTGCTAAGGCCATAAAGACACTTCATTCTGGGGCCTTACTTTAGTCTGGAGTCTCACCACAGCTACAGGAAGAGTGATCTCCTTTGGCTTCTCTCTTAGGCTCTCATACTTCAATAATAAGCTGTAGAATACATGAGCCATGGAGGCCTCTTTAAAAAGTGTGTGTGTGTGTGTGTGTGTGTGTGTGTGTGTGTGTGTACCTGGAGCTAAAGTTACTGGTAATTGTGAGTCTCCCAGTACTAGAAACCAAACTCATGTCATTCAAGAGCAGCAAGTCCTCTTAACCGCTAAGCCATCTGTGCAGCCAAGTAGAGGATTCTTCTCACCAATTTTAGAGCAAGTTCTTTCTCTCCCTCATGCCTGGAGTTTCTTTTTGCCATCTGCTAAGTAGCTGCACAGTCATTAGAAACAAGGGGAAGACACTCCCCAGAAGCACACTCTTCCTAAAGGCAATGGCTGGGATAAAACACTGCAGTGGGTGGAGTTTAGGGCTTTCCCCAGCTCCTTCATGGTTTTGCTCTTTATTCTCATTGACTTATACACACAGGGCTCAGTACCTCATTAGAAAGCCTTGTCAAGATCAGTAATTACCTTCTCCATCATCCTTGGGACTTGAAATCACAAAACAGGCAAATGCAGAAATGTCTGGGATGACTGTTTACCAGTACCTGTGCTTACCGTCTCCTCAGAGGTGATGCTGCCCACCTGCCTGCGGAACCAGCCATGAATGTGCTCAAGGTGGAAGGACTGTCCTGGTCCTCGGGTTTAGTTACTAAAAGAATTCACGTTGGAGTTATGCCCAGGATGCCAGGCAGATAGTCTTAATCAAATGCAAATTAGATACAAACTGGGTCATGCTATAAAGTCAAGTCTATCACTGAAGCGTCAGTATTTACAGTGAACTATAAAATTGGAAATAAGCCTGGGAGCTACCCCAAGGAATTGGTAACCTTCCCCTCACTTAAAAATTCAGCCTTCCTAATGAGCCCTACCTGATATCTGACGGCCCTGTACACTTCTTTCCCTGAGAGCTGTAACTGTGCACTTGTAGCCTTCATTAAATTACTTGCTGTTATTCAGTTAAGATATTTTTCGGTACAGTTGTATAAATTGAATGTAAGTGAAGCAACAATTGTATTATAAAGTGCTTTGGGAGGAGAAGTTATAACTTTTTTTTTCTCCTGCATTCCCCTCTCAGCAAAACAGTCCCCACCTTCTCTCCAGCATTTGCACATTTGGCATCATATAAAAATAATACTGAATGAGGAAATCAGCCAATTTGCCTGCCCACTAATCTGAGTGGGGTTTTTTTCTTGTTGTTTTGACAGTAACAAACAAGAAACCCACGCAGGCATCTATCACGAAGGTCAAGCAGTTTGAGGGCTCCACATCATTTGTCCGAAGATCCCAATGGATGCTTGAGCAGCTCCGCCAGGTTAATGGTATTGATCCTAATCGGGTGAGTGAACTTTCTAATGCTGAGGAAAGGAATTCTCCTCACAGGATGACTCTGCTTTAGCACAGTGGGGGTGATGTTAGTTAGAATCACTCTTACAATGCTCTTTATATTTCAGTCGTGTGATTAAAACTTCCCCAGATCTTTTCCTTTTCTAAGGGAAATTATAAATCTTTCATATTTGGTAGAGGAACCCAAGATAATGCATACAGAAAAATGCTGTCTCCAGCAACGTTTATTAATACAGGGCAGAGTTCAAAGAATTGTGTCCCTGGCTATCTGTTTGAAAACCCAAGGCTTGTCAAAGTTTCATTTGCCTCCTAATACCAATAAATTAATGGCACTTTAATGAATTAGGATTCTAACAGAAATAAATATGTTATGGTGTCAGCATCTACTCAAAAGACCCATTCCCTTTTGTGTGTACACATTACAATATCCCAAGATATCAGAGAAGTCCTGAAGTAACAAGGGGAATTTCTTTTTGACCTTGCATAAAGAAATTAACAAACAACAATGCTGAAAACTTAAAGGAATACTTTTTTTCTAGTAATTGGGCAGATACTATATGGTCAGATCTCTTGACTACTGCAATGCTACTATCCTAGGGTAAATACCTAAATACAGTACAGTTTTATTTTCTTGATAGACACATGCAAATTCTCCATGAATTTGATTCCTGGCAAATATGAATTTATGGTCCATTTATTTGGGGAAGGGTATTGTTTAGCCTTTATGCATCTTTTGGCAGGGCAGAGTTCAATGCAGAAGTCTGTGAAGGTCATGATCAATAGTTATTTCACTGTCTTTTCCAGGATTCTGCAGAGTTTGATTTGTTGTTTGAAAATGCCTTTGACCAGTGGGTTGCTACCACTGCCTCAGAAAAGTGCACCTTCTTCCAAATCCTCCACCACACCTGCCAGAGGTACCTCACAGACAGGAAGCCAGAATTTATTAACTGCCAGTCCAAAATTATGGGAGGTAAGTGGGGACTTACACCAACTGTTTTAACTATCCCATTTCCTGACACTTATTTTCATATAAGAAACTGGATGTTGAGCAAACATAATTAAAATCAAACAAAAGCATCAAAATTCTCAGAATTGACATTAAAGATATTTTATATCACATCTACAGGCAAAGACATACTTTCAATCTTCTACTAAAGCTTGTCTTTTTAGAAAACACTATCTACTTAACTAAAGTGGTTTGTACTATGAGAATAAGCCTGTGCTTCCGCTAGAAAAGCTTTTCAGTTTGATCTCTTTGCTCCCTTTGCTACAAAATCTGTTTCAGAACTCTCTTCCGGGTTCCTTCCTCCTATTTTTCTCAAGATGTTTTTCAAATTCTTCCTGTTACTGACCTTACTGTCCTTTCTTGTATTACTTTTTTTTTAATCACTGAATTAAAATACTTGACAGAAACAACTTAAGAGAGAGAGGATTTATTTTGAATCATAGTTCAGAGGCATACAGCCCATTCACGGTGAGAAAGACTCTCAGAGTTAGGGTGCCTAGAACAGCTGGGTCTGTGAGGCAGAGGTAGCCTGTAACCTTCAAATTTGTCTATTCCCCTAAACATAAGGTTCCGCAGCTGCAAATACACGAACTGGAGATGGTTTTTCCATCACATGAGCCTGTGACGGGCACTTCACATTCAGACCATAACATTTTCTATTAAAAGCCTTTCTTCTTCATTCAGGAACAACATACAAAGGTGAATTAGTATTCTAAGCCAGGCCTCAGAGGCAAGTATTGGCACTGGAAACAAAGAAAAGCATTTAAGGGTGCCACATCTTCCTTTCAACTGGCAAGGCTTCTGGGAAACCCAAATTGCTGAAAATGTAGACCTTGCCATCATCTAAATTAGGGGAGATTTTTTCTTTTTTTATTATCATTTATTACAATTTATTCAATTTCTTTCCTTGCTGTGGCTCCCTCCCTCATCTCATCCCAATCCCACTCTCCCACCCTCTTCTTCCCCTATGACCCTCCCTTAGTCCACTGATAGGGGAGGTTCTCCTCCCCTTCTGTTTGACCCTAGCCCATCAGGTCTCTTCAGAATTGGTTGCATTATCTTCCTCTGTGGCCTGGCAAGGCTGAAACCACCACCCCTAGGGGGGAGATAGTTTTTAACATTGGTCTTTGCACTGACCTAGTTCACTGATTTAAAAAAGTATGTTGTTGTTTTTTTAATTTCTATATTATTAATTACAATTTATTCACTTTGTATCCCAGCTGTAGCCCCCTTCCTCATCTCCTCCCCATTCTACCCTACTTACCTCTCCTTTCCCTGTGTCCCTCACCTAGTCCACTAATAAGAGAGGTCTTCCTCTGCTACTATTTTACCCTAACCTAACCTAACCTAACCTATTAGGTTAGGTACCCTAACCTAACCTCATCAGGACTGTTTGGATACTCTTTCTCTATGGCCTAGTAAGGCTACCTCACCAGGGGAAGGTGATCAAAGAGACAGCCACTGAGTCCTTGTCAGAGACAGCCCCTGCTCTCCTTACTAGGGAACCCATGTGGAGACTTAGCTGCCCACGGGCTACATCTAAACAGGGGGTCTAGGTCCTCTCTAAGCATGGTCCTTGGTTGATTCATCAGTCTCTTCAGGACCCCCTGAGCCCAGGTTTTTTGACCCTGCTGATCTCTTTGTGGAGCTCCTGTTCCCTCCAGAGAAAAGTATTTTTTAATGTGCCAATTTTGTCATCACCAAATACTAAGAGATGGTCTCATTAGAGGTGTCGCAGCCTCTTCTTGGACTCTACTTTTCTGTGACTGTGGGATACAGCGTGTTGCTCTGTGCTAACAACTGATATACTCATGCTTGCTTTGCTACTTGTCTTTGCGATGTTGTATTGAGAATACACGTCTACTTCATTGTCACCTCTGTGGCTATCCCCATCTCAGTAACCTTGGAAGATCTTTCTTATGCATCAAGGCAGTCCTATACTGTAGCTCTCCTGTTCAGTTCTAGAATATGTGGGATGATGGGTGGCTTGTATTTTCTTTAAGGAGCCCACTCCATACTGCATGAAACCGAAAGATTGGTTTAAAAGGGAATATCAAACACTTACCTATTTGGAAAATATAATAGGATCTATTCCCTGCTGTGTTTTTGCTACTGGTAACCTTTCCAGTTAATTCAGATTTGAAAGCCCGTCCTTACCCAATTTGGTAAATGGGCAAAATACATTGTTTTAGGACCACTTGTGGCTATTTTCAGTCAGTAGCAAGTTGTCTAGCAAAGCAACCTTTAACTCAGTCTTCATCAGAGTGGGGTTTCTGTTTTGACATGGTATCAGTTGAACATTTTTTTCACTAACATTGGTATGTTCACTGGCTTGCATAGCTGGAACCCCTGTGATTCTTGGAGAGGACTCTCCCTGACCACTGATTGTGGTCTTTATATTCTTTACATTTATATCTTCTTTATATTCCGCACTGAGAATGTAGAAACCAGAAGGAGACCCACTGTCATGGTACCCCCGCATCTCTCACATGTTCTTCATTCACCTAGAATATATTCACATTTCTCGCAAGTTATATCCAGCTGGGTCTATTGGCTATTCGCCCTAACTTCTATTATCTTTTATTGCCTTGTGAACCCCAAAGATGCAGCACTAAAATGGAAATCCATATTTCTAATGCTAAGCAGCTGGTATTTATATTGATAAAACTAGACTGCATTTTTATAGTCAAAATAAATAATTAATGAGATCAGACACCAAAACTAATTTTGCTTTCTCTGACTCTAGGTATTTCTTTTATTTCTCTAGATTTTTAGTTTTCCCAGATGTAGTACCTGACAATTGACTAGAGGAGTTCAGTTCTATTATTGTGATGATCTATAATTCCTAAGGCATAGCTTATTGTCTAATTATTTCTTGTCTAAGGAAGTCAATAATTTATTGGGTTAAACATTGGCTGCTCCTACATTCCTTAGGAGAACAAAAGAGCTGTTATTGAGCATGTCGTAATTTGCTGGCAGTGTGTATGTCTCTAATGAATCGAATCTGTCTTATTCAAACAGTTGTGTGTCTTTGATAACAGTTATATCAACACAGTCTAATGAATTAGTACTCTTATTACACTTTCTTCCCGTTACAGAATTCTGAAATTTAAAAATGGTGTTTCTTGGATCACTCTTGTCTGACCCCTTTCCTTTTGTAAACTTTTTCCATCTTCAGATTAAACTCTCACTAATTTCACAAAATCTTTTCTTAGATTTCTTAAGAGTCACAAAATCTTATTTTTAGGTCACAAGTTATAGATGCAAATATTCATTTTACTTTGACATAAGAGAATTATGCGATTTTTTTTTTTTACAAAACTTATTGCTGTTGGTATGCTGCCCTTCAACAATCTCTTTACATGTGTTATCTTACCTTGCATGAATGCAGGCTTTGGAAATATGTTTATTATCTCTATGAAAAAGGAAACAAAATCAGAGTTATTAGTTAGCTAGCCATGGATCATGTCATCAGTCAGAGACAAAGATAAGAATCCAGCAATGGGTTGCATAGCTCTATAGACATCTTCCTTAGAGAATGCTGCATGGCTTTGGGATAACTGGTGCTCCATGGAGTTGTTCAGGAATTGTTGAGAAATTTTTAATCAGAACATTCTTGGGTTTTCAAAGGGGTCTGGATAAGGGGGATGAATTAGAGACTGCGGATAGGTTTAAATGTCTTCCTTGCCACTTCATGGATATGTAAAATTTTCTACTTTTTGTCGTAAGGACCTTTAAAATCATCTCACTCTGTTGTTTGTATTTTTTTTGTTTTGAGGTGGGGCTCAGGATTTCAGTAGATTAGACAGTCTATAGCATAGATGGCGCCGTTGTGTCCATATATCCACTGCCTCCTAGAGAGTCCACATTAGCTCCAATGCCATGCTTGAAAACTGAGGCCCAGTGGTAAATGACATCAAGGTCAAAGAGCGTTTGCTGGTTCCCTGAACAACACTTTCTTTAATGCCAGTTCAATATAAGGTTATCATCAACAGTCCATGCCATCATAGCCCTACATTTATCAAATATGAAGGCCATGTGATTGTGTATGTGTGTCTATATGTGTGTTTCTCACGGGGAAGGTCAGTTATATAAAAGTAGTTTCTTTGAAAGAATCAAAATTCTCTCCTCCAAAATGATATTTCCTTAGCCCCAAAGGAAAATTGGAGACATTTTAGCCTTCTTGTGCTAGTTCATGTTCTTGATAAAGATGTGAGTAAAGTCTACATGGCAGTTGAAGGCTCTCAAAACATGGAAACAGAGCACTATTCTCTGAGAGCTGTGAAGGGGGACATGATGGCATCTCATGTTTTCATGAATGTTGCTTTTCTGGCCATCTTCTTATCTCTATATAGCTGAAGAACCAGTGAGGTAAGAAAGCATTTCCGGACTCATTCCTAGCCTTTATATACAACCCTCTCATTCATTAAAGATAAGTCTCTCTTCAAAATTAAAGCCTTCTGTTTAGTTTTCTGGTTCTTAAAAGTACCTAGCAAACCACACAGATTGAAGACAGGAGTGGGAGCAAGTTATAGCTGCTAAAATGTAACATGATATCGTGATAGGGATGCCTGAAGTTGAAGTATCAAATTCCCATGAGTTTGATATACTTCTGACATCATAACTTTTCTTTTTCTCTGTATTTATTTTAACCTGAAATGATAGTACAAGTTTATACCCCTGGTAGCATGTATTCTTGAATCTTAGGCTCCTGAGGAGAAACTTTCCATTAGGTGATTATAAAGAAACAGTCAGCTCCAAATAGAACATTCATTTAAATAATGAGTATTATATTTTATATTCATTCAAGATCCAAAGTCTTAATTTACTTCATTACCCTTAGTAAAACATGAGTACGTTCCAGTGCCTCCGACTTTACAACTTTTTTATAAGGTGTTTATAACTTCACCAATTATATTGATGGCTGATGACCTTTGTAGATACCTAGTGTTTTATGCTTCAGT